CTAGAGTTTGGGGCTGGCATGACGCTAGATTTCTCCAGGCCTAAGCTTTTGCATATTCTTTTAGTCCTCATCGTCCTACCGATTTTTACTTCTGTTCTGCACCATATCTTTGTTGAGCCTTGTCTTCATTTCATTGTTTCCAGGTTTTTGAAAAGATGACTCTAGATTTAAATATGAGTGAGCAGCTACAAGAACTTCGAAGGTTGCTTGAAAAGGATCCAATGACTGTTGTGGAATATGAGATCAGCTGCCTTGAGAAAGTGAGCAAGTTTGAAGTATTTGGATTTTTTATTGTTTTCTTTGCTCTTGCTAATCTAATCAATGATTTACATTTTTTTGCTAGGCTCTTCATGGAAAAAGCCTTCGTGAGATGCTTACACAAAACTTTAGGTTCAGAGTGACTCTTACACGGAAGCTTTGGTGCCCCATCATTAAATCTGAATGCTTGGACTTAAATGACTTGGCAAGATGTATCATTAGGTACGTGAATTTGTAAAGTCTAGTTAGCTACTTTTTCTGTGTTTATATTTTTTTTTATAGAAATAATTAGTTTATTTTGTGAGATGCAGAGGCGTCCTGTACGATCTGTGCAAGATGCATGAAGCCGGTCGTATCCACAGCTCGATTTCTATAGACGAGATCACCGTGACTGCATTTGCAGAGACGGTGGTTGGTCGTAGGCCTTCGACCATAGAGTCGTGGAAGGGCAACCTCAATCCAAGCAAGTTTAGTTGCGTGCACCAAGAAAATGAGAAACTTGCCGGAATGATTAAAGACTTTCATGGGCTTGCTTCTACTATTAGAAAAATGTTTTGTTTGACGAAAGAGGGGCTCCCTGCTGAAGTGAAGCATCTTTTAAACGTGCTGGAGAGTTTTGATACGTAAGTGACAAACAAAATCATCCTTTCAATTTTGTTTAAACTTTTGTTTCCTTATAGTGAATATAAGTTGTTTATTTCACAGGGATACATCGTTGAGTCGAGGCCTGATCTACTTCCATCCCTGTAAGATGGATTTACCAAGAAAGTTAGAGGTCATTTGAGGATTGAGAAGGCTGTATTGGAGAAGCTCGAACTCCAAACTTGCAATGGCAGTATGGACTCGAAAGATAGATATCGCAACTATAACGGATTGGTCCTCTAAGTTACAGAACTTGTCAGAACCTGTGTACAAGAAAACTGTGGACACAACGGTATCAAATTGGGTCCCTACTTTGGAGAAACTAGCTGATTTCATGCAAGCCGAAGGAGCGAAGAAAGAAGAATGTGATTGGTATCGAGAAGACCCCTCCCAGAATGGTGGGTATGGTACCCACCTGTACTTGTTTTAGCATGCATCAACAACATATTTGACCACTCACAGGTTAGTTTATGACTCACGAATTTTAACTTTAACATTAGTTAAATTTTTTTCTTTCTTTTTGGGTCTAATTCATTATAATTTTATTGAAGGGAATTTCTTTGAGCACAACAAACCGCTCCATGTTCATCCTCTTTCCTACCTTCCTATGCCAGTTTCTTGAGACGGTTTTGAGGAATCAGAATATTAAAGTGTGAGTGGATTATTATTTGTTACCGTTGTTTTGATGGATTTTAGTCTACACTCATGTCTCATCATGAACTATACTTTGTTTACAGCGCTGACATATGGGGATCCATTTCAGCCAACAACAGTAAGTTCTTTATTGTTACTTCATGCATTATGCATGAACATGGTATGTTTTTACAGAGTTCATACTTCATACTAATTCGGACTGTTTGATATATGATAGGAATATAACCATGAGTTGAAGACTGGCAATGAGGTATTTTTCTGCACTTTCTGTGGAGGGCTACAAATTCTCCAAATTTCTCCCTGATGCTCTCTGCCTCCTTCCGAAGTCACCCATTACACTGATTACACTATATTAATTTCCTCGTTTTTTTATGATAGTTGTATACCTAGTCGAGCCTTGCTCACTAATGGTTTTTTTTCCCCTTTCTCGCTGGTTTTTCTAACTCATTACAATAGATTCCCTAGTTTGTATTCTCGTAGCATTCTCTTCAACATTTGTATTAACTTGAATTGGCGGTAATGTAGTCTTAGCTGGCTTGTGAATGTGAGATAGTGATGAGCTCGGTCATTGGGTCTTGATGTTTGGTTGTGCATGCATTGGTATATATGTGATCCTGAAAGCTCATTACACTTTTCAAGCTTCTGTTAGTTGAATTCTATCCAAACTTGGAACTCTCCGTTTAATGACGATTTTGTGTTTGGGGTGTGCATGTTTATATCTACGAGCCAACTGTGAATCTATTGGACCATATTCGAGTTAGCTTTCGCTTTCGCCTTCGCCTTCGCCATATTCTTGATTTGTTTGAAAATGAAGATGTCCTCGGTCGTAAAATGCAATGAGATTGCCAAAGTTCAAATTCTGCCACTTGGGAGAGTGTTGCCAGTGATCACGATTATGGTTGTAGTTTAAGAGTGATCTTTAATATATTGACCAAGGAAAGGCTGATATGACTGATATTTTTTGGATTCGAAACTCCATTCTTCTGGTATAACTTGATGGGAACTTTTTGTTTCTCTGTGAAGTTTGTGCATTTTTATTTTAAATTACCTGTTCTCCAACTATTTATGTGACATTGCGATTCTGATTCCTATTATCAATGTGTACAAAAGTATCCTGATCAGAATCAAGTGGGTGTATCTTCAGGATACAAGATTGTTTCCATGATATCAGGATTTCGGTGAGGCTAATACTACTTCATGCCATATTCTGAATCTCATTGTGTATAGTCTCTTATGAGATATCTAACATAGTGCTGTGTGTTTTTTTTATATCAGACGTGGTTGTGGTTACTCGGCTTCTGAATGCTAGCTTTAGCGATTCCCGAGATTCAGTCAACCACAAGCAGCAAAGGGATCAGGTTATTGACTTCCCAACTGTCTGTAAGAGTTGTTTAAGTTGACCTCATTGGTTGTTGGACTTGAATAACTAACTAACATATAATCTTTGTTTTAGCTCAGAGTTCAAGAGTTTTGCGTATGTGTACTAGTTCATAACGGCTTAGTGAAAGATGTGAAGATTTTAAAAACCTCCCAAAGATTCTAAAATGTGCTAGGAGGAAGAAGGAGATTCCGTCATTCAGAGTGCCTCGATCTGCATCTCAATATTACTACTTGCACCATGTCCTCCCTGTGCTCAATAAGCATTCAGTGGCTGAACTACTTGTATCTGATGGTCGTTGCCTGCTGGTCAGTAACCTGCTGTTTGTTCTATATTAATTTGTTTAGTTTTTCATCGGAACAAAATTATAAGTTGGATTCTGCTTAGTTGAATTATGCTGTCTTAGTTTGAAGTACTGCTTTTAGTTTGTTCGACTTGTGTGAACTGATGGCATCTTTCACGCCGTGCACCTATCGGTTCGAATTGGTTGGGTGCTGTAGGATCCAACAGTGTTGATCCTCATTAACTACGGCATCCTGATCTGATTGGGTTAGGCATGACTGGTTGGTTCCATAAAGATTAGTGTGTGTAGACTCTCTGAGATTAATTAGACTTTCGTTACAAGGGAAAGAAACCTGTGATGGTTAATGTATTTTTTAGTTCCTGTAGCTTGCTAGCAAGCTACAATAGTTGGGATATACATTTTTGGTGATGCAAACATATATCCAAAAAGGTAGAGGCTGATAATTAAGCTATAATTACTTCTTGTTTCTAAAAAGATTTGACTAGAAGATTAATTATGAGTGTGTATAGCTAGTCTGCATGGGTGACAATATATACTTCATACAATTGCATGGACGTGGTAGATCGATGATGTCATGATGCAAAATATATGTACTAGGAATTAGGAAATAGGATGCCATGTAATGATCCAGGTATATCGTCCTATAGTCCTGGAGTATTGGAGTATTGTATTCCTTTGATCTATCTGAATCTGTTTACTTACAACTCAATGTCTCACTGTGTAGGCAGAGTTGATGGGCAAGTCTTTCTTGTGCCGCAGTCAATGTTCAAGAAGACGCTGGGCGCTACCTAGGCGAGGAGGCACCGCCCAGCGCCCAGGCCGATTAGTCGTTGCCTAGGCGAGATTAAATGTAAAAAAAAATGATAAATATGTAAGTTTAGAGTGCAAGATCAAACATAACATTCATAAGTTCACTGATTTGCAGTTCTGTAACTGACAATATTCAAGATAACAATCATTCAAGTAGTAACATAGAAGAAAACAAACATAATAAAACATGACAAATGTTAAGATAAGCCATAAAGGCGATGACAAGTTAATAAACTCCAAGTTGATCACTCATCATCTTCATCCATATAGTTCTTGTTAACCACAACATCCTCCTCATCCTCCTCGAAATGAATGGCCTCACTTTCCTCGTCATCTTCTTCTTCAGACTCAAACTCCTCATCGGCAAGGTCTCTCACTAATTTGGCACTCCTGCGAGGTTGAAGATTCTCACTAGCTCCCCTTGCCTCATCAATAACATTCCATGGAATGCCATCGAAACCTTCATCACCTTCATCACCAAACACATGCAAAGTGTGACTATCTCCTCCCTCAAATAGAAATCCTTGTGCTTCAATTGAATCAGAACTTATGAGAACATCAACATTCTTCCTCACCTTTATCTTCCTTTGCTTGGACATCAATCTAGAGTTGAACTGGATGTACACTAGTTGATTCATGCGACTTGTAGTAAGCCTATTCCTCTTCTTGGTATGGATCTGCAAGGACAATTGATTATACAAGCTTCCATCTAATATCTACTTTTATTATATAGCATATGGACACAAATTCAAAACTACTAACCGACTCAAAAGTACTCCAGTTTCGCTCACAAGCAGAAGAACTTGAGGTAAATGACATAATCTTTATAGCCATCTTTTGCAAATGAGGTGTCTCACTTCCATACATTCTCCACCAAGCCACTAAGAAATTAATTAACTCTAAGTTAGTGAACGACACTAAATCATAAGTTACAAGGAAAGGTGGAAAGAAGTACTAACCAGGATTGTAGTCAAAGTTTACACAATTCTTTGCCATCTTTTTTCCAAAGAGTCCTTGTTTCCTTTGAAATTTTGTGAACTCAATGTTCATCACCTCATCATGTATATATTCATCACAACCATGGTAGAATTGGTCAACACAAGTGATCAATGTTGTTGTAATGTCGGCATTGTCAAATATTGAGGAGTCGGCATAGCTGTAGTGAGGATTGAGAAGATATGTCGTTAGATGCAATGGATCATCAAGTCTGCCTCTCATCTTCTTCTCCACAATAGCAATGACTTCTTTGTAACGAAGTTCTTCATTCTTAAACGTCTCCTTTATCTCTCTCTTTGCCTTCAAAAGTTCACCATACACAAAACCCATAGAAGGTTTCACATCCCCATCCACTAATCGGAGAAGCTTCACCAATGGCTCAAAGACTTTCAAGAAAATTTCCACACCATTCCAAAACCTAACACTAAGAACCGTGTCATAAGCCTCCTTGCCTTTCTTTGAACTGGTCTCCTTAATATTTTCCCACTTCGCATCCACCACCATCTTCCTCAAAGAATCTTTCTTATCCAACAAACTTTGTAGAGTAAGAAATTGAGAAGCAAATCGAGTCACACCTGGTCGGATGATCTCTCTCTTTTTGGTGAAGGATCTCATGCATTCCAAGGTGCGGTGGTGGCCATATATGAAGATGGTGAACCCCTTATCTTGATCTACAATTTTCTTGAACCTTGGTATGTTGCCGATTCCTTGGAGCATCAAATTGATTGTGTGGGTTGCACAAGAACTCCAAAATATGTTCGGCCTCTTCTCCAACAAGAGGGCCTTTGCTGCCATATTGTTGGAAGCATTGTCTGTCACCACTTGCACCACATGTTCAGCTCCAACTTCCTCTATTGCATTGTCCACTAGCTCAAAGATTACTTCACCTGTGTGAGAAATTGCTGATGTGTCCTTCGACTTTATAAAGCTGGTTCCCTCGGCACAATGTGTGACTATGTTCATGATGCTTCTCCTCTTCATGTCTGTCCAAGCATCAGTCATAATAGAGCAACCATTCTTTTTCTTCTCCGCCTCTCGATCACTTAACAAGCTCTTAGTCCTTGCATACTCAGCTTTCAACAAAGGATCTCGAAGCTCATACTGTGTAGGAGGCTTCAATCCAGGACCAAATTGACCAATAGCCTCAACCATTTGCTTGAACTCATCATTCTCAATGGCATTGAATGCAACAGCTACAAAATAAATTCAGGAGTAAATTAGAAAAACAAATTGTGCATCTAAGAAAGAAGTAAAGGGTATAGTTATGCACTAACCATGTGTGTACACCCATTTTGCAATATATTGATGGACTTGAAGCGTCCTCTCATTAAAAAGTGCTTGATTTATCTTTTGTTGCTGAAATGGTGCACTCGAAGACAAGCTAGGATCAATGGCACGTACCCACTTGTCTATAGGACCTAACTTGTGAGATTCAGAGCTACCTGCACAAGTAAGGTCTTCTTCCTGTTGTCCACCGGAAGAGACATTAACATCACTTCTCAAACCTAGCTCACGAACAACCTTATCCTGCTTCTTCTTTTCTGTTCCTTCCAACCATTTCAAGCATGCCAATTTAGCTTCATTTAGGCAACTCTTACACTTGGCAACCCCACCACCAACCTGAGCAATGTGTTTCTTGAAACGGTTAATTCCTCCTGTGTTTACATTCTTGCAAAAGTTACACATGACTCTATCCTTGTTGTTTGGATCGACGAGTTTTCCATATTCCCAACCAATATCATCAGACTTCCTCTTCAAGGAGTTCGCATTTTCAACCGTTGAAGCCGTGAAAGTAGCCTCTGTCTGTTCCATTTAACCAAAAACAAGCAGCCCTGTAATCGCAAACACACATTTTCAGCAACCAAATTTTGAAGGGGACAGCAAAACTGATTAGCAACCAAAATAAAAGCAATCACACAGCAATGAAATGAGTAAGAGAATTGAGATTCTTGTGCTGTCCCAGTACCTTGTCAACGAAGCGGCAGAACTCCGATTCTCTCCTCTCTAAAACTGCTTCTGAAGCAGGTTCTAGCTCCTCCTCTTCGTTCAGGGACTCGTAAACCACGCGGCTGTCGAGGTCGAGAATGGAAACCCTAGTCCAGAGATCTTCCCACCGTCGGCTGAGAACTGCGGCGAGCGATGCTGGAGAACGAGGGCGAGGACGAGTCACGATTGGCGATGCTGGAGACCGATGGCGAGGACGAGGCGCGATTGGTGATGCGGAGACTGACGGCGAAACTAATGACGACTGGCGATTCTGGAGACTGGCGACGAGGATGTGGCGCAGTTGGCGACGAATCCCCCTGCTGCAAACTTGCAATGCTGGAGAAGGATGCTGGAGAGGAGGGATGAAGGCGATCGACTGTTGGAGAGAAGGGAGAGAGGTGGCGACAGTCGAAGTCGAACAGATGGGTGGGAGGGCTGCTGCTCAGCTGCTCGACTGCTATTAGGGGTTTCCCCTTTCTGCCCATCCAAAACGCACAGCAGCGTCATAACCATTTTTTTTTCTAGGCGTCGCCCACAGCTTGGAATCGCGGATCCAAGCTAGTACTCGCCGCCTAGGCGTTCTTCAACGCGATTCCACGTTTATGGCGCCCAGCAACTTCGCCCAGCATTCCTCTCCAAGTTTCCTCCTCGCCTAGCTACTAAACGCGCCTAGGCGAGTGTTCTTGAACACTGGCCGCAGTGCTGCTAGTTTTGTTTCACCTTGTATTGGTATCATTCCAAAAAGCTCCGATACTTCCAAAAAATATTGGAATTGACAAAAAATAAAAAAAGGAGGGGCAGTTGTATGGTCATATGTAATGAAGACAACAAAACAGACTCAAGATAACATAATGAATCTTTCACTAGCAAATGGTTGCAGGTTAGCAATTCCTCTCTATTCTTCTATTTTGCGTTGTGTTTTGAAGTTTGTTATCTGCATTACCTCGTAATGCATAAAGAACATGCTTAGTGTATTAGAATTTGGGATTTCACGTCTGCCTTATGAACAGGTTTATGCTAGTGTAGGAGTAGCTTGTGTCAGTTCGTGTGTTCGGCTTCGAACAACTTACTGTTATTTTTCTTGGGTTGTCTTGTGATAATTTTGGTTTGCTTGGAGACTCCTTTTCAATTCTACTTGACAAATCCTATCTCCTTTGAACAAGGTGCCACTAGTGTTCTGTCTTTGGGTTCTCGAGCTTCATTATATGCCGTGAAGTTCTTATACGAAGGATATTGGATCTTGAGTAGATCATTCATCTTTGGATAACAAGAAAAGGGATCATGTCTATTTGGATTATGTTTGAATGTTTATGGTCATTAGTATTTGGTCATGTAAACGTCTTATCTTGGATCATGGTATGAATGATGGAATATTGATGGGTAAATACTAAATAGTGTATGTTATGAATTTGGTAACTATTGAAATAAGGTTCTGGGTTGTCTATAGCGACTAGAACTTTTGTCATCAAATTGCAGTCACTGGTCTAGGGGTTCTCAATAGTGGCAGTTTTGAGTTGGTTCAAAATGTTTATCGGTCTCTTTTTAGCGACAGTTATGAGTTTGTTGCAAAAAATTTATTTAGCTTTAAGCAGGAACTATCTTTTACCCGACCCGTTGGTCGGATGAATTTTAAATAATTTTATTTATTTTTCTATTATTTCATATTAATGAATTCATCCTTATTTTCAAATTATTTGGATTTTTCTAAATAATTTATTGATGATTTTTTATCAAAAGTTTAAATAGGTATATTAATCAGACGTTGCTGTTACATCGTCCAGACGCAGCTGATTAATCAAAAACACTTGTGGTCTATCCAACCAAAGCTCTCTACTCTTCCAAATAGTCTTACAAGAGGGGACGCGACTTAGTTAACCAATTCATGGAGCGTGAGAGCGTCTATTTTAAAATAATTTAATATAGAGAGCGTGGACAAATCGTTATTATTATATTACAATGAATTATTTATTTAGTATAATTAAAAGATATATGCAATAAAATTATTAAAATAAAATTTATTTAGCAATATAAATGAGTGCCCCCTTATAAAAAAAGTTGTTATATAGTTGATATTGTTTTGACAATGATATATAACTGAGACATGGAAGTTTAGTAAAATGAAATGCATACATTACTGTTTCATACAAGTGTGTTCAGATACTCTTATTTTTTGTGGAAAAATATCATGACATTTTCATTTTTTATCTATAAATTTATTTAATTTATAAGTTTATAAGACTATTTGAACCTTTAAATATAAAATAATTAAAAAAAATTTAGTCAGTTGGCTTTGGGCTTTCATTTCCCAGTATAATTTTGGAAGCCTATTATTTCTTTTTATAAGGGATTTTTCTTTACAAAACCCATTCACGTTCTAAAGCCATCTATGTTTTTGGTTCTTCATCTTTGGAGAGCGTGCTGATTATTGAGAGGCCATATGTTACAACCAGCAGAAAAGAGAAACACCTGGTCATAGCTTCTTAAATTCTCATCCAAAAACCTCTACTCTACTCTCCGCCAGCTCTATGTTGTATATCCCTCTTTCATGCCCGGAGAATCGAAAAACAAAATTCTCCTCTCCAATCTCTCACCGCATCACCCATGCATTTAGCATCTCAACCAAGAACCCTGATGTCAGAGTTGAGCTTGTAAACGCCATCCGGAGGGCGGTGTCATGATAGGGGTGTGAGATTGGATGCTGCATGTCCAGATCATCCTTTGATTGAGCTGACAATTTTCTTTTTCAGTTACACCATCGTTCCACCAATTTGTCCTCTCCTTCTTTTATCAAAACTTGCAGCCACAATATTCTGTCAAAATGTTCTCTTCTGCTGCACTCTCAATTAATAGCTCAGACTTTCAAGTTTCAAAAATCCTTCTGAGTCGCGTACTTCCCCAACAAAATCACATTTCGGAAGAAACGATCTGCGAATTATGTGTGCTCTTTCTCTAATTCGCATTTTGGAGATCCAAAGCGGGAGCATTGGGCATAAGCCTGCAAATTGGGGTAGGTGGTCCCTGGAATAGGATTTGAGGAATGAAAATTGAAATTGTGGGTTCCCAAATTATCCCTCCGCAAAAGCCTCTGAAGGTTGAAATGAAATTTCACTTTTCTCATTGCACAATCATTAATTAATGGTAAAGAAAGTTCTCTAAGTATGTGTACCTATGAATACCAGTTTTCGGAGCTGGAATGGGTGAAAATATTGATAATAGAAATGGTATCACAAATGAAAAAAAATGCAGCGAGAACATGAATCAGGTTCTTTAGACATTCAACAACCCAATATTCCTAACTGACTAAACCGTACCCACCAAAGCAGCAAAACAAAACAAACCTAAAGATAGATGTCGTTTTATGGTCAAATGCATGACATGGGAATCAAATTAGGATCAATGTGGTCCATGCATACCAGTTACAAATCATCAAACTCCTCTCTTTAAGCTAACAGTGTTTCCCACATCATAACATATATCTACTAAGCAACAATATCTCTACCGCTAATACTCCCAGCTAAAGAAATAAATAATAGAAATATATGAAGAGTGTGTCAAAGACTTTCATATGTTTTTCAACATGCTTACAACAAATACCGTTCAACATCAAGAGATTTTTAACTCTGAAGTATGAAACATGCTAAAAAGGTGGTCTTTTATCCACCAACTTTAAATATCACAACAGTTGTACTACAAAGAAAACAGGACCATGCCCTCTCTTGATATATCTTTGCTCTTGCTTACTTGTGTATTAACAAAAAGAGTGTCCTTGGACCCCTTTTTTTCATAGAAGTTCAGCAAGATGGACTCTTCCCCAGTTGTTTAGTCTTCCATATGATCTCCGTTTTTTTAATTGAAACTAATAAGCGAAAAAAGCATCAAACCAGGACAATAAGCAAGTATACTGACACCGAAGTTCTTGGATTTGAGACACCCCATTCATCAAATGAATTTCGAATCATTATTATTATTGGTTTAAGATTAATAAAGTTTATTTAGTGGCCTGTGAAATACCATGTAGACATAACACCCTAATCCCCACCTAAGGTTGAGAAAAAACATTTTGAATACCATGGTCGCATTAAGCAGGTAACCGGAGAAAGCTATTAATTAGAATCGAATTTAAGAAAGGTTTGGCTGAATTTCTAATAGAAATAAGAATTTAGTGATGAACATAAACATAATTGAAATTCTTATGAGTAATATTCTCAGTAGTCTTAATTGGTGGCTAAGTTTGAGTGAGGAAGTTGTTATATACCTGAAAGGCTTCCTTTCAACAATGTGATAGAAGCGATCAGATGCATAAACCCTCCTTAGATCATGTGGCCTTCTGAGATACAGGTTTCCCTCATGCACCTTAGGCATAGTAGGAATGGCAAACTGCAATATCAAAACATCAAAACGCAATAGCAACCCCATTTCAGTCCAACCTTGTAAACATCAGACTCACGCCAAAACATTATACATTCCAGTTTTTCCTTCTTTTCTTCCAGAAAGCAATTACCTTGATAGGAAAGGCAAACATAATGTGTCAGAAAAGTTAAGTGAAGATGTCTTACAACAGCATCACAGTCTGCTGCAAGAATCATCCTGTGCACATTCAAACGTCTGGAAATGTGATTCGTCAAGCAAATCGGAATGCAATTCAGTTTCTTGCCCATGTATCGTTTAGCAACTTAATTTGATAACATCTGAAGTGTAAGTTGATCATCACTTGCCTGAAACACAACAGAGTTAATTATATAAGCGTATCTAACAGTCAAGTTCAACGACATACATCTAGCTGACGTAATAGCAAAGCACCTGACCCTCTTCCTCTTAATATTCCCCAACTTCCCAAAATTCAAAACCACCAACAACGCTAGCATCACAGTGACACCCGACCCAAGCGAATGCCTTGCGGAAGTGAGACTACAACTCAGATACCTCTCCTCCTACTCGTTCAAAACTCCACACTCTGATCAAGAATCAAACCAGTAGCTTTCAACAACTCATTGTGCACATACCCACCATCAGTCTTCCTCTTTCCCAATTTATCATCCAACATCAACTTGTAATCACACTCCTTCACCAGATTCAACCCGTGAACCGCTAGCACAATATCGGAGTGGTCATGATCTAGGTAGAGTAAGTAAGGAGGCACCTTGCCTTGAGTTTGAGTGTCCTATTCAGCTTGACCCAGTCAGGGTTTATCCCATACCCACCTGGCGGCTACCATTGAGGGTTTTAGCATCTACCATCGTAGGTTAAGAAGAAGAAGCAGAATGAGGAGTGCTTACCGGAGGATCTTTAATGCACCAAGCTCACATTCTGATAGTTTATGTTCCAAGCCGCGTACCAGATATGCTTTATCGCATTGTTACGACAGAAGTAGCATGTCTCTGCGGTGTGCATGGGTTCTTCCCAATTCAGTGACGCTTCTGGAAAGCAATGAATACGCCAAAATTCTAAGGATAACTCCAATTAACAGAAAGCAAACCCAGAATGAGACATGATTATTCAACGACAACTGTCAATTAAATGGGTTATTTAAAAATGTTACCTGCCAATTTTATAGTTGCCTTGACAATTTCGCAGACAACGGATTTTCACCAGGTAAGAAACTGGGTGGGGGTGGTGGGAAGGGGGTTGTCTCCAGTGCTGCAAGTTTCTTACTACCTTGAATTAGGGAGAAATCATGGATCAATTAGATTGTAGAGAGGAAAGTTATCAAAATACAGCGAGGAAATTTGTGGGCAGAGGTCAAGCACAGTTAAACAACCTTTGCAACAATTAACCGAATCATTGAGCCACAGTTACAAAACCACACTCTTCCAGGACATTTTCGAGAGACAGAATCGTATCAGCTAAGGAAGCTTATTGAAACACAATTCTCTATGCCTAATCTCAAACTAATCATAATAGAAGAGCGAGAAGAGGACAGACCTGTGAACTGAGCTGCAATTGTACCAAATGTGAACGTGCAGAACTTGAGAGATGCATAATTATAAGTCTGTATTCTTGAAGATTCGGCTCAACTAAGCTCTTTATTAGCTCAGAAGCTGCGTACAAAGCGGCAAGATTTCCAAGAATAAATATTTCAACTTCACCCCATCAAACCACTGTTTCTCAAACATTAATCACAGAATGTGAACACTGAAATCATTGTCATTAGAGGTGGAACCTTTTCGAATTCATTATACACTTATTGCATGAAGCAGTGGTATGAGCTAACAACAACTACTTGTGCCACCATATCCTAAAAAATTGGGCAAGATTTTGACAGTAGAAGTTGAAACATGAGTGAGAATTTCATTATACTCACCTGAATAATGAAAGAACTACACCACTTTTTAGCTTTATACCAAGGAAACCCCACTGCCACAAGCATGTTGTGAATTTCCGTTGTAGCATGCTCTTTAACATGGGTAAAAGTCATTTCATAAGAATAATAATGGGTAGAGTTGAACTTTTGCACATTTTGACTAATACGCAATCCTATCTCATCAGTTCTATAAAAACACTGCCAAGCTAACAGGATACAGACTATAAAATGAAGAACCAAATTCTTCAATTTACATGAAGAAATTGTACATCAGCCCAACTTGAATTGGTTGTTGCATTTCCATGCAAAGTTGATTGATAATTTACTCCTAAAATGGAAAGGGGACTGTTAGAGGATTTGTTTCACAGACTGTACATTGAAGAAACAAAGTATCCAAACTTGATTAAGGAAGCAATGCTGAAGTAAAAAAAAACAACAGTAAAAGAATAATATATAGTACTTACTAATCTGAGGTCGATGAAGTTATCCATGTCGGTGATATATCCATGTAGCTTGTGTCCCACCAATGTGGAGCCCAGAATGAAGTCACAACAAAGGCCTGCTTGGACCAGGGGAGAATTGAAGATTCCTTCTAAATTCTAGCACATGAATGATTGAAGAATCTTTCTATTGATCTCGAAAGCTGAGGTTTAAAAAATGAATGCATCCACTAAATCCTAGACGAAAATCATTACGGGATCCGAAATCTAAATTCAGAATTAAGAGAGTCAATTTCAGTGCTTAGCCATTCCAGGGAATGCGGAAGAAGGAACAGGAGCAACCAAAATATAGATCTTAAAATTGAAATAATACGAGTGACAGGTTGGGTTTGATTGGATTGCCTTATAGGAGAATCAGATCCAGTCCGCAGAGGCAGGGAGAGAGCAAGCAGTAGTTGTGGCCAATTCAGGAAAGATGGTAGGTATCCCGTGTAAGTCATTCCTTCCCTGCTAGCTATGCTCTGCAAACGTTTGAGCTGGTAGGTGTTTTAATTTGGTTCACTGTCACAAATCTACCCACACAAACTGACAAAAAAAAATTATAAATAACAATCTAAGGATCCATGTAAGAGTTAAAGGAATGACATTTGGGGGAGATTCGGGGAACAATAAGTAAAAGAAAATCAAAAGACAGAATACTCACCGCGGAAAGGAGGTTGTTCACGGGAGAATGGATTCCTAAACCCTCAACTGCGTCAATGAGGCAGAGTGGTGAATTCTGTGCAAGTAAATAACTGGAACAGAGTCCATCAGTGAGACAAAGGGAAACAAAATAGCCGGGCTTTTATGGAACCTGGCAAGCAACTAAAATTAGCATCGAGAAATTTATCAAAACAAAAGTGATGGGAATACACAAATTGAGTACGCAATGAATTAGGAGTGGGTGAAGAAATGGAGTAGATTCGAAAGGAAGATGGAAGTAGAGAGTGACTTTAAGAAATGGTGACGACAAAGCGGCGACGGATTTTATGGAAGAGAGATTAAAATTTGGCGGTGGCGGTGGTGTAGATACCGACTACGCAGTTTACATCGCCATTGAAGGAAAGAATCACCGGATATACCACCGTAGGGGAGTTGTAACAGGCTGTGGGTTCTGATCAGGCAATTCTTCAGACCTGCAGGAGCGAAGGAAAGGGTGAGTGGGTTACAGGAATATGGACTCAGCGGAGATGCAGTTACAAGATTGCCGGCGAATATTTGGGAAAGGTGATAAAAAGGCGGCAAGGGTATTAGGGTTCCAGTCGAAGGTTTCTAAAATTTGGAATGAGGTCGATAGTCGGTTGCAAGGCGTTGCAGGAAGGAAAGAGAAAGAGGGAGGGCAGTTCAGTCGATGGAAAAGCAAAGAAAACGCGCTTAAATGGGTTGCCAGGTCAGATTTCGAAAATCACTCTAAGAGCAGGGAATTTTGAATGGTGGTGACAGTTTTATGTTTCAGCTATAAATGTTACTATTGATTAATCAAGGGTCTAAACCCTTGGAATCAACATCTATTTAGTCCAACTACATAGCCCCATAGCAAGGGGGTCCTTGCTAGTTCTAGCAACCAATCTATCATGATGATACTGAATTTTATATTGACATCTAAATTCTCCGATAATCATAGTAGATAATAACTCTCAACCTAGGCAAATTGAAACCTTAACCGAGGTCGCAAATTTGATAGATCCAGATGATGAACATGCCTAAAATAGCACATTGTTCTCAGAACCTTTTGTTTATTAAGGCTTTGATGGTCGAAAGCAATTAGCATATCCTGGTTGGTTCTAACAGTACCTCATCAGCACATTCTCGACTTGTGTTGATCGTTTGTGTCTTTTGACGCTTGGTTAGCATTTATTCTGCGGTTAATGTGTATGGATGACCTAATAGTTATCGAATTTACAGGTATGAAAGTTAGGCGCTGTGCACTTGTTCCTGATGTTTAACAGTTGAAGTCGATGAAAATCTTGTTGGGAGCAGCATGTGTGCCTGTGCATGATCCTTCTCGGAAGATCGTGTGGGAAGCGAAGTTCCTGTAAAGCTCACGATGCGTCTGGAAGGGCTATACGAGTAATGATCGATCCCTAGTAAATGCTAATGACTCCTACTGCTGCTTCGAAAACGACGGCCAAAGAAAAAACAACCCAACTATGGAACACATGTAATTTGATGAATCATGTTATGCAAATATATACGTAACTAGGGTGGCAACTGAGGCAAACTGCTCACTAGCGGTTCGCCGTTCGGTTTGGAAGAATCTCGTTCGACACTCTGCTCATTTACTAAAAAGCTGATGTTGAGTTAAGCATTGTTCGGCTCGCAAGGGTGGTGTGCCAGTTAGATTTGGTGGCTAATTGAGCTCGACTAGTGAGCTGGTTTGTTTTGAGCTATGAAAGATGGCTCGATAGTATTGCTAGCGAGCCACCTCAACTAACATCTTATATGAGCATATATCGATTACTAACTAATTATTGGCTTGTTGATAATTCATATGTTTGTTATCTCGCCATATATAATGGTTAAGAATTTGAGCACATGATAAAATACGTTTTTTTCTTTCTTTTTTCGGTCTGATAAAATATGCCTCGTTTATAGCTTTAAAGATAAATTATGTATCTAAATTACTTATGTAAAAATTAATATTAAATGACATGATATGATATGAACAATTATAAATTATGAACTAAATGATAAGATACCTAAACTCGAGGCGATATCACAGGCTAATTGATGAATCAAACTCAAGTACAGCTCGTGAATGCATTAAATAACAGAAACTCAAATCAAACACAAATCAAAATTTCAAAATTCGAACTCATATGCTGCTTTCAACTATAGTTGTTTGGCCTAATATAGTGTATCACTAAACAGTATGGCTGTTAATGAACCAAGCCGATCATGAACGGCTGGGCGTCCGACTCGAGAAAAACTCGTTCGAAACTCGATTCGTCTTAATCGAGCCGGCTCGCGAACAAGCTCGTTAAATAAACGAGCCGAACTCAAACCATACCATGTTATGTTTGAAAGCTCGCGAACAAGCCCATTTAACGTTTTGGCATAAGAAAGTATTAGAATTCATGGATTTTATGTATTGAAATTGGGATAAATGTTGTGTTTTATTTTGGTAGCCTTTGCTACATGTTTGAATGTAATTTTGTGCCCAGTTCTAAGTCAATCTTTAGCTAATATGTACATTTTATGAGCTTAACTCGATTTTGGGCTCGTTAAGCTTATTTGATGAGCCGAGCTCGAACTTTCATTTTCATAAACGAGCTCGAGCTTGCATATTAAAGCTCGTGACGAACACGAGCCGAGCTCGAGCTTGAAAACATATTAACGAGCCGACCCCGAACTATGGCAAAACTCGACTCGACTTGGATCATCAACAGCCCTACTAAACATGAATATCTTTACTTTATGTCAAGAATGAAAAATCAACGTGATAGGAGTGGAAAAAAGGTAGAGAAGAACAGGAGAAGTGATTGGATGACAAAAGAATGATAAGTCAAAAGGAGCTAAAGGACCGAAGAAGAAGTGGATGGATGGGTTGTCTGTCCTCAACTTTTCTCTCTTTTGAGTTTTGAGCTCGACCTCCCACCACTTTTTTCCTCCCCTTTCTTTAAAGCCAAACATCCCCCGAGAGAAAATCAAATTTTTTTGATTCCCTGCCCTCTCCTCATCAAAAAGTTGCACGCGTTTCCATTCCCCAATTAATATATTTACCCCAATCTCACCCTCTCCATTCTTTCTCTTTAATCCCCCAATTACCCAATTTGAACAAACCCACCCCCTAATTGAATTTCCCTCCCAACTTCCCCAATTCCTTCCCCATTTATTAAAAAAAATATTCGCAAACAATTTCTTGCCCATCCACACATGTCTTTATTTCCCCTTCCCCTTTTCAGTCGCCATTGAAATAGCTCCACTAACATCCATTCCAGTGACTTCTTAGCTTATTCGTCCAAAGAGAAAAATATGGATTCTTAGCACATTCTTATTCTCGACCATGAGCTACCTCCGCTGCAATGCCGAATCCGCAATCGCCGTCTGCGATCCCTACAACTGGGATCGCAGCCAGCCAAGGAGGGGAGGAGGGAAAAACAGAGTCGTCTCTGCCTCCAACAATGCTGCTGCTGCCGCCGCGAGAGAGTTCTCCTACGCCGAACTATCCGCCGCAACAGGCGGCTTCTCCGACGATAATTTCCTCGGCAAGGGAAGCCACGGCGCCGTTTTCAGAGCCGTGCTCGACGACGGCAAGCTAATCGCCGCGGTCAAGCGGACGAACCATCCCCGAAACCCGGATCCAGCCTTCCGCAGCAACTTCGCCCCCGCCGTCGCCACGCCGGGGGAGAACGAGATCGAGATTCTCTCCAGAGTCCGCCACCCGGGGCTGGTCAATCTAATCGGCTTCTGCGCCGCCGCCGAGGAGCGGAAACTTCTCGTGGTGGAGTACATGCCCAATGGCTCGCTCCACGACCTGCTCCATTCCGGCTCGACCAGGCGGCCACCCGGTTGGACCAAACGGATCCGGTTCGCTCTGCAGGTGGCCAAGGCGGTTCACGCGCTTCACTGCTCCGACCCGCCCGTGATCCACCGCGACATCAAATCCTCCAACGTCCTCATCGACGGGAAATGGAAGGCCCGGCTGGGGGATTTCGGCCTGGCGCTGAGGGGACACGTGGAGGACGTCCGGGTCAGGTGTACTCCGCCGGCGGGTACGCTCGGGTATCTCGACCCGGGATACCTCGCCCCGGGGGATCTGAGCTCGAAGAGCGACGTCTTCAGCTTCGGGATCTTGCTGCTGGAGATAATCAGCGGGAGGAACGCAATCGACGTGAACTTCAGCCCGCCTTCCGTCGTCGATTGGGCGGTCCCGCTGATCAAGCGGTGCGAGTTCGGGTCGATCTGCGACGAGCGAATCGGGGCCCCGAGCGACGGAGCCGTGATTCGGAGTCTGGCCGTACTGGTGGCGAGATGCGTGCGGTCGACGGCGGGGAAGCGCCCCGGGATGGCGGCGGTGGTGGAGGCGCTGAAGGGGATCAGGAAGAGAGCGGAATCGCCGGCGATTTGGAGACAGTTGAGGCGGCGCGTGGGGCGCGTGGATGAGATGGAGCCGCTGGAGGACGACCGCGACGCCGCCGCTGTTAGTAACAGCATTGGCAGGGCGACAGTGAGGGCGGGAAGCAGGAAGACCAGGAAAGTGTCCAGCGTTTCAATTGCCGAACACGGAAGCGATGTGATCGGAGATGCGACGGCGGAGGGGGAGGAGGAGAGGGTGGTGTCCAGGTCGAGATCGATCGGTTCGTTTGGGGAGATGAAATTGATGAAGGCGGACGAGTATTACAGGCTGAACAAGGCTGCAGTGAGAACGTCGGGGAAGGGAGCTGTGAGATTAAGGAAGTCGAGGTCGACGGGAGTACTGAACGGGCGGCGGCTTGGCCGGAATAACAGTCGCGGCGGCGGTAGAAGCAGAGAGATGGATGTTTCGATGTCGAAATTGGGGATCGGTTCAGATGAGAATAAGGGGCAGGAGAAGCCCCTCTTCTCCATTGTTTTACCGTCCAGCTAGTTTTTCTTTTGAATTACCTCTCATATTTGTATTATTTTTCACTTTTTTTTTATCCGTAAATGTTGATAAACCTTTTGAGTTTTGACATGATTTGTTTTGGCCAATTTTAAGTGAGGAATTATAGCCTTCCCAATGAGTGTTGAATGGGTTGCAATTATTATGGGTTAGCAAGGTTTTACTACTCCAACCAAACATGGTAAGCTAAAAGTGTGCTTATTTTCCTTTGAATGCAAGTCTTTATAGTTAAATCATAAATGGTTGGTTGTGTTTGTATCTGTATGTCCCATATTCATCCCTTGGGAGCGGTTACGGTGCTAATTGTATAATAGTTAGCACCGTCCTAACCAAGGGAAAAACTACTACTAGTTTGAATTAATAGTGATTTAGTTTAGATGTTGTATTGATTTTATAATAATCCGTCTACTAGTTTGAATTAGTAGTGATTTAGCTTAGATGTTGTATTGATTTTATAATAATCCGTAGTGATTTCGTTATCTTTAGTAGCGTTTTTTGCTAGTTATCACGGTGCTAACCACTACAAGGGTTAGCACCTAATCTCATCCCTCATCCCTTAAGTAGCCACTAAACTTACTTAAGGGATTCGAAACTAACACTTCCAATTCAAGACTAGTGATATTATTATTAGACCAATCTTTTGTTCATCCTATATCACCCTTATGAAATGAAAATGTAAATCTTAACCACCAACCAATCGAGCTCCTCCAGAAACACAGTAATCCAATTCATTCTTATTCAAATATCTTGCATTTTCATTTGTCGTAGGTTAGCTTAGAATTGATTCGTTAGTATTATGCATAAGTATGAGCTTACTAACCCACCTCATGAACTAGATCTTGAGAAATGATGGTAGAGACATGTGTTTTAACAAAAGAAAGAGACATGACAATAGTATCACTCAACGTGATGATAATTTATAAGACATGTTTCCTTGACCATAGCTGAAGGCTCCAATAAGAATGTAAATGCTCCCCCCCTCCCACCTTTCCATTCCTTCATTTTCAAGGATACATTCCAGAAAGCCCATCCTTCCATTTAATGCAGATGCAAGAAATGGGGATGCGAGCGGTCAGTAAAGACCGAACTACTGCATAGTTGAGAAATCAATTGTAATCAAGGTTGTTAAATCCCTATTGAACCTCCCGGTTGGATCCGGTCCGACCCGAGTCGGGCTTCAAAACGGCTTCCAGAAAGCCCCCCGGTCTAACCCCTAAAGAGGGAGAAAAAGAGTGGGGGAAGAGAGGAAAAGGAACGAAAGAAGAGAAATGGTGGGTGGATCATGGAGGTTAGGTAGATTTATTTTGTTGAAAATAAGTTTTTAATATATATATGTAAGATAAGTTTTATTTCACTCATTAAATCTTTAATTACTACCTTCTTTGTATATATATTTAGAAAACGTCTAAAACGGCTCAAACCGGCTGGACCCCGATCAGACCATTAAACCTCAAACCCCTTGGTTGACCGGCTCAATAACTTAAACCGGTTTGACAACCTTGATTGTAATCCAATGTCACAGAGCAGCAAAAAAAACTATTAAAAGAGTTTGGTGATTCTCAAATACGATAATTTGATGCTTCTGTATTTCTATTCAAAGTCCCATCGAGGAGAATGGATTGATTTTTTTTTTCCCCCCTTTTTCAAACTGCAGGCCACTATTTTCAAAGGTTAGATTTACAGTAGATGCAAAATCGAAAGTCTACTGGCTGACTTTCTAGTTTGGTTGTTAGTAGCCAATCTTTCCACGTGATGTATTGGATACCAATCAATGTAAACCCAAGTGATAAACCAAGCAGTGATTATAGATATGAAAAAAGAGTAATAAACTGAACACAGGAGTAGATAGAGCATGTACTTCTGGCTGGGTGAGGCGACAGTGATGAGATATATTATGTAAAGAGCTAGCGGTAGGTAGTTAAATAAGTGGTTCAATCGAGATTTTTTATATTGATATATTTCTTGAATAATTTAGATTGGGTTAGTAAGTCTGATATTTGTACTTCTTTGGATGGATGTCGAGTAGATTGTAGGTCACACGAATGAACTACGCTTTATTGCTCGGAGTTGTTACTGTTTTATACTATCAAAGGGTTATCCTATTTTCAAACCACGACACAGACTCATCATCTACTTCTACATGTGGAAAACAAAGAATAGTTTTGGATTACTACTATTGGATACTATATCGTATAGTATTAATTAGATATTGAGATGTCTATCACAAACAACTATTTGTATCAATTTTCTCTGCAGCAGTTGATTAATTAATGAAAGATTTGATACATTCCAACGATGTGAAATCCAAATGCGTAAAAACATGGTTTTTAGAGTTATGTGTTTAGCGACTCTCCTTTCTTTGTCAAAGAATACTTCATTTAAAGTGCCAAAACGAAATGATGGTATGAGTGCACAGTGGCGGACCCAGGATTATTGAAGAGGGGTGTCGCCGATAAAAAATTATAATAATTAAGATAATGAAATAAAAATTTAATAGAAATTACTGGAAATTTATTTATAAGTTCACAACCTCATGTTTACTACGAATTATGACGATTTTTCGTATTTGAGATTTTTTTAAAATACATTCATCGTTTATGTTGCAAATCAAACCTTTTTCGATATGCACAACTACATAATCATTCATAAATTAGTCACTCAACTAAAGAGAATCGACCTACGTCTAAAATAAAATAAAATAAAAATAAATTAGTTTGCTACCAATCGGCTATTTTAGAAAAAACAAAGTATGCCTAAGTAATATCATTAGCATTTTTTTCTCTAGTTCTATCAAATTAACCAAAATCAAACCACAATCTCCCATAAATATAGGCAATTCAACTATTAACTACAAATCAATAAGTTAAATTGGGTTGTGGGTTACTTAAAACAAGCATGCTTATTTGATTTTACTTATTATTGTTAATTACTAATTATGACGAATAACTTTATAACATTAAAACTATTGTCGTATAATGAAAGTGTGTCGCTTATAATTATTAGAGCGGTGTCGGAAGTTCCAAATTAAAAAATTTTGTACCGAAAAATGAAAGGTCCTTCACAAAATTTTCGAGCGGAGGGGTGTCGGACGACACCCCTCCCCTTGCCCTAGGTCCGCCCCTGAAAGCAAACTTTGCACGTCATAACAGTACTAGGTGGGTCTATGAGTAATAATGACTATTGGATAATTGTTTTTCGAAATTATCGCACCACCCAACTGCATCCACCTATCATCCAACCAAAGAAATATAAGTAGATAATAAATCATAATTATATCAATTCGTTAGTAATACATGCGATGAATAAGTTTTGAGTCCAAAACCCATCCAACCTACGTCATGTCTCCCCAGTTGACACTTTGGTGGGGGAGCAAACATAAAAGGGTTCCCAAATTCAAGCCGATCCCGTGAGCTAAATTCGAACTCAAACTAATTTATTAACGAGCTGAACCTAAATTAAATCTCTGCTCCAGCACTATTTCCAAGGCTTCCGCTTGGATTTTTGTCCAACTTAATTTGGGCTCTGGTTTTCTTAATCTACTTGTGGATTGTTTATTAGCAGCGGGAACTCAATTTTCGTCGGATCCGATTTTATATTGTGGAAGAAAACCCCAATGAATATGATATGACAGAGGCAGAGCTTTTTTTTGAAACACAGACAGAGGCAGAGCATTATAGCATTTATGAGAGCATGTTAGTTAGTTAGGAGAGAAGAGAGAAGAGAGAAGAGAGAAGCGCGGAAACCCGTGGGAGGGAGAAGAAGAGTGAATGAAAGAGAGAAGAGATGCCTCCTCCTCGATTGCAGGCGGCGATAGGCATGGCAGACAACAACTCTTCACTGAAGCTTGGGTGCCGTGGCAGAGAGTTCAGTGGTCGGAAACGGAAACAACATCCAAACGGGAAATATGGACACTTTGAAAACTGTACCACCGTTGTTTCCCATTTATTTCAGCGCCCCTTGTTCATCTCAAGAAATCTCAAGCCCATTTGAAGTTTTTATGTCACAAGCAAAGGCTTTGAAATCACAGATCCTATTTGAGTCTAGTGGCGCAGTTGTTGTTTGGTTAAGAAGTCCGAGTTATCGGTCCGATATAGGAACTAGATAGAGAGTATTAGGGTAATGTCTATTTTTTATCCAAATCTTTTTTAGATTCTTTTATATTATCCAAACTTATTAAAATGCTATTAATTAGTCAAATCTTTGGTAATCAAAATATTAGTCATTTTTTACGTTATTGTTAATAATTTTGTAACTATTTTCTTAGTTAAAATACTAAACTTTTGGAATGTTGACCTTCATGTGTCACTTCCAAGTTAGTTTCATATTGCCAAGTTAATATTACTAACAAAATTGCTAACTGAAAGTTAACATTTGGTTAATTCTTAGTATTTCGATAGGTTTGGATAATATAAAAAAAATCTGAAAAAGGTTTGGATAAAAAATAGACATTACCCTATTTTTTAATAGTGTTCAAAGTTACAACACCCAAGAATAGAAAAGCGAGCGTGAATTGCATGAGAATGAATTTCATCTTGTTTGTAAACTAGGGTGACCTAGTAGGAGGATTCAAAGAACTTTCATGCTTTAATTGATATGATTTGCCATTTGGGTTGCATGAAAGGGGAACCATTATGGTTTAGTTGAAAGGGCTACAAACCTAAACTCTTAACTTTGGTTTCTTCATCATTGCTAGTTGTTAAATTGTATCTACAATATATAGAAAGTTGCTTGAAGTTCACCTAATTTAGGCTTGTTAGATAGTAGTTTGAATACGAGTACTAGTACACAGGGCCGACCTAGAGGGTGTGCCAGCCGGCCCTCCGGCACAGGGTCCTCCATTTAGATTCGTTAGTTAATCCGATAGTATATTGTAGGTTGTATTTCTAGTGTACGATTAATTGATTATGAGAATGATGATAGGTTTAATTATATTAATTAATACTAGTGTTAGCTATTGATTAATAATCTCATGTATATACACTAAACAAGTATATTGATGGTCAAAGTACGGTTTGTGTTTCGAAAATCCTATTTGTACTAACAATATTACAACATTTTTTTTAATGAAATAGCTATGATAACAATTGAAAATGATCTCATGGAGACTTAAAAATAGAAAGATATTATATTTCAAATAATAATATTATAATCAATTTAATTTTATTAACTTATAAAAAGATTTCATGGGTCACATCTCGATTTTGGAACAGGACCTCCACGATCCATTAGACTACCCTGCTAATACATCTAAGCTCATGCAGTATGACCTTGTACCATTATACTACAAGTTGTGATTGGTATACTTGTCAAGAGTGATCATGTAGTTACATGATATCGAACTTTTGGCTTGGTTGTTGGATAGGAAAATCCTAGAA